CTGCTAGACTCACCCGCGGGGGGGTAGGATCCGATCCTCTGCTAGCGTCACTGCAACAGAACATTTCTGACAGTCTCCTCGTGCTTTCCACGTTGATTGACGATTATGTTCTTCATCGCTGGTCTACCTCTGACTGAAAAGCGCTCTCGCGAAAAAACTGGACGTCTGCCATTATAGCGATTACGGAATGGCTGTCGCCCCGCCCCGCCGCCGTGCCCGTTTGGCAAATGAGCTACGATCGAAAACAGGTCTTACGCAAGATGACATAGCGACCTTACGCGGTGGCTTACGCGGGCCGCCGGCGCGGCATGCTAGACTGGAAACGAGGGCGCTTACGCAAGACCTTACGCGGGCATGGGGGTATCTGCAGAGGCGACGTTGTGGGAACGTGGAAGCTTCAGAAGAAAACTGGGGAAGCATTAAGCATAATTGAACAACGGCGCTTTCTAACGGTAAAATGCAAATTTCGAACACTGAAACTGTCGACATACTTAGTGGTACAACGCGTCATGGGTGGCCCTGGCGTTTTCCAACCTGTTTTTCAACATCACAGTCCTTCGAATATGTGTCATGTTTTTCCGGCTCCGCTGTCTCCATATGGATATTCGTTCCACGTACAATCCTTATTCTGTTTTTCATCAGAGTTCAGGGGCCGAACGGTCATTCATTGTCCCTGGGTGCGTGGCTGAATAAGGAATTCGTGATAAAAGCTATGTTTGTTGCGTTGCTGTTGAGCTCTCACTTCTGAAAAACAATTATTGTTGATCCCCCTCACCCGGAGGTACTGTTTGTTCTCAATCTAAATGTGCCCTTCGACGCTCGCACCCTGTTTTTGGACAGGGAAAATCCCACTGATCAAATTGTGTCCCTGGCCCCCCGGATTACAACAACAACGGCTCCCGCCTGAGACTTCCTCCAAATTTACTCAGGACCCCCGCTCCCGCGTGAGACTTCCTCACAAATTACTCAGGATCGGTGCTCCCGCGTGACTTCCTCGCAATTTAGTCAGGACCCCCGCTCCCATCTGAGACTTCCTTACAAATTACTCAACAACGGCGCTCCCGCTTAAGACTTCCTCGCAATTGAGCCAAGATTTCGTCGCAGTTTAATCAAGACCCCCGCTCCCGCCAGAAAACCCTTCACATTTGATTCAAGAATTGCGCACTCGCCTTGGATTTCCATATAATGTGTTCAGAATTCGCGCGTTCGACGCTCTGGAAACACGCAGCGCCAAGGACGCCGTCACAATTTACTTGGGAACCGCGCTCTCTCCATACTCAGGCATCCCGCTTGAATGTCCGACCCGCCCGACCCACCCGTCAGGGGATCGCCTGCCCGTCGTGGGCTCCTGCCCGAAACTTCCTTCAGGAATGGCGCTTTAGCCTAGGATTTCCTCGAACGTTCACGCTCTTACCTTCCTGCTCCCTCCTCCCTCCTCCCTCCTCTCCTCCCCCCTCTCCTCCCTTCTCTCTCCCACCTCTCTTCCCTCATCCTTATGCCTCTCTGCCCTATCCCCTCTCCCTCCTGTCCCTCATCCTTTTTCCCTCCCCTCTCCTGCCTCCTCCCTCCCTCTTTCTGTCTCTCTCTCTTTCTCTCTCTCTCTCTCTTTCCCCTATCTCTGTCTCTCCTTCTCGCTCTCTCTCTCTCTCTCTCTCTCTCTCTCTACTTCTCGCATATGTATGTTTATGTCTCTCCCTCTCCTCTCTCTCTCTCTCTCTCTCTCTCTCTCTCTCTCTATCTCTCTCTCTCTCTCTCTCGCTCTCTCTCTCTCTCGTCTCTCTCTCTCTCTCTCTCTCTCTCGCTCTCTCTCTCTCTCTCTCTCTCTCTCTCTCTCTTTCTCTCTGTTGTTTTTTCTCTCTCTCTCTCTCTATCTATCTCTCTCTCCCTCTCTCTTCATATATATAATATTATATCACTATTTTATGTCTCTCTCTCTCTCTCTTTCTCTCGATTTTTCTCTCTCTCTCTCTCTCTCTCTCTCTTTCATGTTTTTCTTTCTCTCTCTCTCTCTCTCTTTCTCTCTCTCTGCCTCTAATCAACCGCCCCCCTCTTCGCGCCTTATCTCGTGGCGTGGTCCCTCTTCCTTCGTCCCTCCCCCCTTTCCTCCCAGTCTCCCTCGTTTTCCCCCTCCTCGTTTTTTTTGCAGTGCCCACACCAATTCCAATGACGGGCACATGTACGCCCACGAAGGATTGTCCGCCCGCTCAGATTTGCCCGCCTGTCGAAGCCCGCCGCCCCCCGCAAAGAGAAAGAATTCCCCCAAACGGAATGTGATCGAAGACAAAAAGGGCGGGTATCGAGGGTGTGGGAGCTCGTTTTGAATGACACACGGGCAAATAAAAGCGACCAGTCTTAGAATGATTGTTGCTGTTGTTATAGTTGTTGTTGTTGGTGGTGGCGTTGTTGTTGGTGGTGGTGTTGTTGTTATTGTTGTTGTGTTGTCGTCGTCCCACCCGCGACCCACCCCGTGACCCACCCGAGGCCACCCCGCGACCCACCCGCGACCCACCCCGCGACCCATCCGCGACCCACCCCGCGACACACCCGCGACCCACCCCGCGGCCCATCCGCGACCCACCCGCGACCCACCCGCGACCCACCCCACGACCCGCCCGCGACCCACCCCGCGACCCACCCTCGACGGAAGTAAAACCACCCGGACCCGACAATCGACGTTTACCAAACGGCCCTGGGCGTTGTCTAAACAGCCCTCCCTTGTGCGCGTTTACTAAACAGCTTCGCTTGTCGGGGCGATTACACGGGGTGGATTTTCTGCCCCCTACACCCCCGACCCACCCGCGACCCAACAGCGACCCACCCGCGACCCACCCGCGACCTACCCACATCGGTTTAACGAGAACATCGGCGCCTGCGGCGGGCTCGCTGCATAATTTTCGAAACTTTTGCGCCTGCGGCTGGCTTTTCCAGAGCCTCGCAAACTGCCGCCGCCCCCACCGCCCCTTCGCTATTATCCGCATATTCGGGGCGCTACGTTTATAGAACAATGCTCGCCGATGTCGCTATGTTTTGCGTAGAAGGTGGTCGGCCCTCAGGCCGAGCAGCTCGATGTCCCAGGCGGCCCACCCTCGGCGCCCCCACGGTCGGGAGCCCCCATCTGCCGCGCGGCGAGCCAGGAGCACGGGGGGGCAGCGCGCCCGGTAGATGGGGGCCGAGGGCTGGCCAACGTTCGAGCACGAAACAGAGCGCAACTCCAGGCCTCGGCCAGCGGCTTGCGACGACGGGCCGCGATCAGTGCTGCAATGAAAGCGCCAACGCAGGCAGCGCGCTTCAAACAGGCCCGGGAAGAATAAAAATGACGTAGGGGACAGGAGGAAAACCAACGGCGACTCACATCCTCTGTTCTGCGCGAGATCTCATCGCCAAACCACGCCCTGATCGCCTGCTCATGTCTGGGACATTTCCCATAGCGACGGAGAGAGTCGAGGTCGACTCCAGGCTCAGCTTCACAACCACAGAGGCAGCCAGCGGCAGGCGAATGAAATCTCGCCGGTGCCCATATAAAACCAATGATCACACCAGGGGAGCGATACCAACGTACATAGAGGGAGAAGAACAAATTGTCCGAAGGGCAACGCAGAGGGCGACGATGCTACGAGCAGAGACCGAGGGGCCGATGACGCGGGCGCGGCGAAGAAGTGCATCGCACACAGGCTCAGAGCGCTGCATGGCACGAAATGCAAGATAAGGTTGGTGCTGGAGCTTCGGGGGACCAGCAGAGAGCCCAAGATGAAGCCCGACGAACCAGTCTTTCATTTTGTGAGCATGGCTGAGAAAAGACTCCGCATTCCAGCCGACATGCCACCAGTACGAAATGTGCTCCAGACCCCCCCGAAACGCCTCCAAATCCCCTAGGGCGCCATATAGCATAACTAATGTTCACCGCCCGAGGGACCGCCAAGATATCAACGAACTCAACGCAATACCCCAGGGATTGGAGTTGGGTGGCGATATCGCATGAGATGGGATTGCGGGGCCCCGCGGTCAGTCCCATGACCGCTTCACGATGTTGGTGGATCAGGCCACTGTTGGGCGGGTAGAACTGCAGGCGGAGCAGGAGCTTGGAAACACATATGACCTAAAAAACGGCCGCACGCTGCGCGATGCCATGACCGAGTTGGGGAAGTTGGTGAACGCGGTCCAGAAAACCAAAGGCAATCGGCTGTCGAACCTCCAAGGCCGCGGCAGGGCCGATGGGCGCACCTAAATACACGGCCCACGAGACAAACTGACTCTCGTCGAAGGGCTTGCCATAACTCGACAGCACAACCAACAGACGAGTGAAGTCGGTGCCACAACAAATCGCGATCTGGCACTTCTTGAAATTATGAAACTTCAGATTGGCAACGCACTGGAGCAGCATCACTGAAGAGAGGAGCGGAACCAAATCCACAAGCACATTCACAATACCAAAGAGGAAATCATCAGCATAGTATACGCTGAGGTCATCCTGATGTTGGCGGCGCATCGGCTTCGAAGCCTTTGTAGCAGCGGTTTCACCGCCAAAACGAACAGGCGCACAGAAGCTGGACATCACTGCTTGACCCCAGATTCGATCGGAATCGCGTGGAAACGCTGACCTGCGACGGTGACAACGGCGAGTTCGACATGTACACTTGGCGACAGAATCGAACGAGGGCCATCGGGATCCTCATCTTGTTTAAGACAAAGAAAGGCCAGGCTTGCGAGAGGTTCGGGGCGGCCGATGCAAAGTCAGTCAAGAAGAGCGCAGCGTGCTGGTCATCACGTAGATAACGCGACAGCCCCCACGCCTCCGCCCGCACCGCGTTCTCAACCAGATGCCTCCCACCAACACACTTCTGCCCCTCCAAAACGATCCCCATAGTAGCAGAGATAACGGAGCTGACACTAGCTGCGGAAAAAATCTCGACATCGGCGCTGCCCACGCTGAGCGGCCAGGCTGAGACGCATGTTCTCAGGGTAGATGTCAGGGAGAGGTAGCAGGAGCACAGCATGCGCGA